AAAAAAAACGCGCCTTCCTTTTTCCCGCCAAAAAAAATAAAGCAAACCTCGTCCTGAACACCGTACTGCGCCGCCGTGTCCACGTGCCGGTAGCCGGACTGCCGACAAAACGCCGACCAAAAAAAAAAGCCAAACGAGAAATTAGAAATCCACGGCGGGTTCGAATGAATTCCAAATCATTTTCAATTCGATTATAGTTTTTTTCTTTTACCTCGACTATGGCGGCAAAAACAGAGTCCTTTGGGTTATCAGATTTCCAGGTGCCGAGGCCCACGGAAGGTATCAGGCGGCCGCTCGCCAATCGGAATCGCAGCACGGCTTCATCGTGGCCGGTGAATGTTGCCTGCGCCATTATAATTTTTTCTTTTTTGAGTGTGATTTTCAGCTTTTTTTTTTTTTTTTGATCAAGAGGTGCTTTTTACTTTTCAGTTGGATTACTGGTATTATGAAATGACAAATATTTGACACGTTTTCCAGATCTAGCGCCAAATCCTGACACGTGTGAGCAGTTATCGGGACTGATGTTATGGCCCAAGTCGCTCTTCAAGCGGGCTTGGGCCAGCAATGAAACCCGATGGGTGTGCGGGCTGGGCGTGCCCTTATCCAATACTAGAATCGTCCATCAAATAATCAATTAATGTATTTTTTGTTATAGCTATTTAAATATATGTTTTCCTTAGATAAATGCTTACCAAATAATTAAAAAAAAAAAAGTAATTCTTACCAAAAAAATAAAAACCGAGAAGACGTGTCAGTCAAGTCGAGTATATCATTTTCGAGTTTATGCTCGTTAAATAAACGGCTCAGACTCGTTCAATAAACGAACAAATAGTTCGGCTCGGTTTCAACTCATTTAAGTTCGTGAAAGCTCAACTCGAATCGTTTAATTAACGTAAATACTTAAAACCAATTGTTCGAGAACAAAATACGAAAAAGTTCGGTTCAACTGATTTGTGTTAAATAAATAAAAAAAAAAAAGGTTTTTTTGCAACGAAGCTCGGTTAAATTGTTGTTTAATAAACAAGTTCGAGTAACACTATTGGGCATTATATATAAGAGAAAATATCACAACTGTGCAAGGTAAATAAAATAAAATAAAATGAGAAAATAAAATGCTCACAATTCAAAAGCAATGGAGTGACCAGTTTTCGTGTGCTTACAAGCAAAGATAAAATGGGCAAAAAAGAACCAGTTTGCATGAACATTTGTTGATCACTAATGTACAATCTAAGGTACCATTAATTAGACAACCTTTTTATATCATTCAAAATTTATGGCTAATGTCCGGATTAAATTGTCAAAAAAGTGAAAGCTTTTCATATATCTTTATTCAGATAATGTTCCCTTATCCACGGTGGGCACGTGTTAATATATCCACCGCTTACGTGACATACATGATACATATATTGGTATGGTATGTTTATTCATAGGAATTCTGCTTTTTCCAATTTAAGACCTCATTAAGAGATTTGTTAGACAAATTGGACTAAATTGCAAATTATGTAAAGTTGTCTGAAGGCTGCAGGTAATAAAATTGTCCACTAAGATTTTGTTAATAAAAATCAAAACACAACATGAGATGAGGACATACATAATACATTTTGTTCAGTAGCTTTTATAATTGTCAACAAAATTCGAACACAACACAATGCGTAATATTTCAATTTTTTTCACTCTACTTCACTCACGTTTTTCTAATGCAAAATTCGAAATAAAGTTCAATCACTACTACAGATTTATTTATTTTTAAAATATTTTATTCATTAATTCATATATTCATAAATGTTAATTATAATTTAATTTATTTCTCTATCACATCACAGTTACTTATTATTTTTTTCATATCACATCATTTTATATTATACTAATACTTATCAGTTCTATTAAATGTACTTTATATTATTAATAATAAAAAATTTAAACAGTTTCACTGTCCATTATTATTTTTTTTTAAGTAACCAAAGTAGCTAGGGGAAAAAAATAAAATAAAAAAACAAAAAACACCCACCCAAATTCTAAAAAATCTATCAACAAGGATTGACTCAAGTGGTAAGCAGCTTGATGTCACTTAAGCAATGTCTCAGGTTCGAGTCCTTGTGAATGCAAAAAGCTCTATTGGAAGACTCACCCACCACTGTCAGGTGTGCGACTCGAGTCGACCAACGAATTAGTCGAGGCATAACTCAACTCCGAAACCGTAGCTGGCTACCAAAAAAAATTCCAAAAAATCTTTCAATTTTCAACCAAACCCATCATCAACATCACCCTCCTAAATACATGGGCCATCACAATTATTATTTTTCAGAATAAAAAAATAATAATATATTGCTTTCTCGAATTCCAATAAAAAGAGATGCAAAATTTCAGAAAAAAAAAAAAAAAAATCAGAGTAGCAGAGATTTAAAACGAAGCAAACTTTATCATCTCCAAATTTCTTTCCTTTTCTACCCCACAGAGTTGAGACCAAACCAGACACACATGCTTCAAAAGTCCACACTCACTGACCCACCTCACATGTTTTTCTATACAAAAAAGTGAAACCCCTCAAATTTCCCCTAATCATGCAATTTAACTTATAATTACGTGCCCAAACCTTAATTATTGCACCCACATTTTAACTTCAATGTAATTAAACGATATTTTTATCGTGCAATGTTGATCTAACGGTTAAAATAGTTGTACAAATTAATTATATGTGTTGTTGTGTCTTGATCAAATGGTGAAAGACTCGTGAATATGTATTTGTTGATTAAACGGTAAAAGATGTGATGACTGAATTGCAATTATCGATAGATTCGAATCTTTTCGAAATTGAAAAATGAACTGGAAAAACTATATAAGTTTTTTAACCTTTGAATCCTATGAATTATTATGATAATTATCATGCCACTTTTTAGGTTACACACTTCAGTCGATCATAATCATATATATAGCTTCTAGAAATGGGGTTTAATGATTTAATATCTTAATTCTTTGAAAGGATATAGAGTGGGAATGGATATGCTAAAAAATGAAATATTTTTTTATTTTTTATCATAAAAATAAATTGAAGAAGTAACTTTTTGTAATGGGAATGAGACTAGTTTTAAGATGTAATAAAAATAGTAATTTAATTAAGTTTACATGATTTAAAACTTTTAAACAATAAGTTGTAGTTAATAATATGAATGTGCTTATAGTATTTTGCTAGTGAAATGAAATAATAACTAATGAAATTAATTTTTTGATATTATATTAGTAAACACTAAAGTAAGGAAACATAATAATATAAATGAATAATGTAGTTTCTTTCTAACAAATTCCAAGTTTCAAACTATTTTATTTCACATCCAAGTGCTTACCAATATTTTAGAGAATATAATAATAGTAATAATCAAAAGTGGATAACCTATGTCTAATCCAAGTGCTACAAATATTGCAAGATAATAATAATAATAATAATAATAATAATAATAATAATAATAATAATAATAATAATCAAAAGTGGATAGCTTACATGTCTATTACAACTATATAATATAATAATAATAATAAAAACCAAAAGTGGATAACTTACATGTCTATTAAAACTAATAACAGTTCCCTCTATATGTCACAACCTACATTTGAAAATTGAATATCAAACAACATTTTATGCATAAATTTTTTAACATCAATTTGAATAGCAACATTAGTCCAAAAAAGTAACCAAAGCTACACATAAAAAAAAGCACATAACATACTAGAATTAATAAGAAAACTAATTTAGATAAAACTTATATATTCGAGCAAATTAACTTAGGATTTTTGGACCATGTATCGGTAGGCCGCCACTTTTTTCTTGCGCGAGGCTGTGTTATCGACTGAGAGCACCAATTTTCCGGCCACCCGGGCCGTGAACGAGTCGTGGACGGCCTCTTCGTTGGCGGCAAGCCGCCGTGATTTGTCGACGGCGATGGTGTAGCTGCCGTCGGAGTTAGGTACAAACTCTGCACTGTACTCCACTTCCCATCCACCCACCACTATATCCCATGTTATTGTTGACCCACCCTTAAAAATAAAATTCAATTCAAACACAATAAATATCAGGTCAAATGAATTTAATTGGATCACCAATTTTTAAATAAAGAAAAAGAAAAAGAAAACTTTGGGGATGTAGACTTGTAGTACATAAATATGTTAGGAAAGAATTTTCTTTTTTTATATATTTTTCTAAATTTCGACTCGTTAAAATTCAAGATTGGCTCGTTAAGGCACAAATTTTCAGCTCCATAATAGTAATAAAATAAATCCAGCTCGAGCTCGATTTCTAGCTCGTTTATTTAACAAGCCTAAACTATATTGAATAAAAAAATATAAAATATCTTTATCTTCAAGCAAAAAAACAGACAAAAAGGGACAGAAAAAGTCATGCAAGGGGCTACTATAAGGGGGACAACCAGCCAAAAAAATCAGAAAACACTATTTATCATCAGATTTGGTTTTTCAGAAAGCACTTTTTTTAAAAAAAAATAATAAAATATATAAATATATATATATATATATATATAAATATGCATAAAAAGACAAATAAAATAAATGCAATTTTACCTATATTTGTTTCACAAATAATTAAACTGCAGAAAAAAAAATGCATAAAAATAATGAAATTAATTTAACAACAGTACTAATTTATTTTGGATTTTTATGAGTTTCACTATCATCCGTCACAATCACCGATATATATTACAATCAAAGAGCAGCACGCTACCAACACTCAGGAAAAAGGAGCGAATTTACCTCAATGCCCTCAATCTGAATGTTCACTCTCTCTCCACCTTTGACCGTGAATTCCGACGCCGGTCTAGCCGGACCGTCCAGCTCATCACCCGGCCTGCTCAGACCTCCGTACTGGACCGGCACATTTTCCGGCCTGATAAACCTGCCTCATTAAAAAAAAGTAAAAAATTGATTTAAAAAAAATTGAAAAATACAGAGACATAATAAATGCACAAATACAGCAGCACACTGCACAATATTTCTTCCTGAAGTAGAAAATTTAGGTTAACACGAAACTCGGACTGAATTACGTATTAAAGATTTTTCGAAGATTTGACTTGCAGTGCAATTATTGAAATTTTCTACATTAAATCGACACACAGTACAGGGTTTTTTCACAATTGAAATCACTACCCACAATGCCAAACCATTCCGTCGAGTTTGTAACAGTTAGACCAAGTTACATGATGATAACGGTTACAAACTCCGACGGAATTGTTCCGTAACGGGACCATAGCATTTCAAGTAAAATCTACACAAATTTGCATCAAAATAGTAATAAACAATAAAAACTAAATTAAACTAACTTGTAGAGTGTTTGTGCACAATTTCCTT